TCTATGGTTTACCTTACAAGGGTACAAGTGAAACTTTCTAAAAGTAGAATATAAACGTCTCAATAACTAAGAAAATGACATAAAGGCTGTGTTAACCAGTTTGATGAAAGTATTTCAAATTGTATATGAAAACACCACACTGTACCCCATGATTGCATTAATGTACACAGCCATCATTAATTTAAAAAAAGAATTTAAAAAATAATTCATTTCTTATGTAATAAGAAATTATTTCTGACTACTATAAAAAACTCTGTGCCCAGAACTTTGACAATATGGAGAAAATGGACTAATACCTGAAATCACGTTATCTCTCTAGACTTAACTAGGAAGAAATAGATCTCCTGAGCAGACCCACATCAAGTAATGAGATTGAAAAAAAATAATAATAAAGCTTTCAACCAAAAAATGCCTGGGATGAGATGGCTTCACATCAGAATGCCATCACATCTTGAAAGAAGAGCTTCTACCCAGACTGTAGACGTATTCCAAAAAATTGAGAAGGAACCTTCCCCAACACATTCTATGAAGCAAACATCACCTTGATTTCAAAACTGGGAAAGGATCCAACTAAAAGGGAGAATTACAGACTATTCAATTTCACTAACGAATATTGATGTAAAAATACTCAATAAAATCTTAGCTAATAGACTGCAGCTACTCATTAAAAAAAAATTATACACCATGATCAAGTAGGCTTCATGCAAGGAATGCAAGGCTGGTTTAACACATGCAAATCCATAAATGTAATTCATATCAATAGAAGCAAAAACAAAGAGCATATAATCCTCTCAACAGATGGCAGAAAAAGCATTTGAGAAAATCAGCATCCTTTTCTAACAAGAACACTTAAGAAAATAGGCATAGGTGGCACATTTCTTAAGCTGACTGAAGCATCTATGACAAACCCACAGCTAATATCATACTGAGTGGAATAAAACTGAAAGCTTTTCAATTTTTAACTGGAACCAGACAAGGATGTCCACTATCACCACCATTATGCAACATAGCTCTGGAAGTTCTAGCCAATGCAATCAGGCAAGGGAAGGATATAAACGGCATCCAAATGGGGACAGAGGAGGTCAAACTCTCCCTCTTTGCTGATGATATGATCTTATACTTAGAATACCCCAAAGACTCAACCACAAAACTCCTAAAGTGGTCAAGAAATACAATAATGTCTCAGGGTGTAAAATCAATGTCCCCAAATCAGTAGCCTTTGTATAAGACAATAACAGCCAAGTTGAGAAGCAAATCAAGGACACTATTCCCTTCACAGTAGCTTCAAAGAAAATGGAATATACCTAACAAAACAGGTGAAGTATCTTTACAAAGAGAATTATGAAACCTTATGAAAAGAAATTGCAGGAGACAGTAACATATGGAAGAACATACCATGCTTTTGGCTGAGAATAATCAACATTGTCAAAATGTCTATTCTACCTAAAGCAATCTACAGACTCAATGCAATCTCCATTAAAATACCAACATCGTATTTTGAAGAACTACAAAAAATAGTACTTTGTTTTCTACAGAATCAAAAGAACCCAGTGTAGCTAAGGCTTAGTAATAAAAACAAAGTGGGAGCCATCACCCTACCAGACTTCAGGCTATATTACAAGTATACAATAATAAAAACAGCATGGTATCGGTGCAAAAATTGAGACATAGACATATGGAGCAAAATATTAAACCAAGAGATGAAATCAGCCTCTACTTGCCACCTGATCTTTGATAAACCAAACAAAAGCATACAGTAGGGGAAAAATCCCTATTCAACAAATGGTGCTGGGAGAATTGGTTAATCACTTGTATAAGACTGAAACTGGACCCACATCTTTCACTACTTACAAAAATTGACTAAAGAGGGATAAAAGATTTAAATCTAAGATATGAAACAATAAAAATCTTAGAGAAAAAGTGTGGGAAAAACTGATGTCAGAGTGGGGAAATATCTTATGACAAAGATTTTAGCAGCTATAGCAACAACAACAAAAATTAACAAATGGGACTTAAGCTGAAAAGCTTCTGCACAGCTAAGGACATAACAATTAAAGCAAAAAGAAAACCTTCAAAATGGGAAAAGATATTTGCAGAGTATGAGTCTGACAAAGGGTTGATAACTAGAATCTACAGAGAACTCAAATTAGTCAACAAAAAAGAGCAAACAATCCCATCTACCACTGGACAAGAGATAGGAACAGAATATTCTCTGATGAAGACAGAAGAATGGCTAACAAACATTTGAAAAAATGCTCATTATCCATGATCATCAGAGAAATGCAAATCAAAATCACTCTGAGATATCACCTAAGCCCAGTGAGAACAGCCCACATCACAATGTTTCAAAACTGCAGATGCAGGTGTGGTTGTAGAGAGAAGGGAACGCTTATACACTGTTGGTGGGACTGCAAACTAATAGAACCTCTTTGGAAGGATTTATGGAGAATTCTTAAGGAACTCAGATTAGACCTACTATATGATCCCACAATTCCACTACTGGGTATCTACCCAGAAAAAAGAGACTCATTTTGTCATAAAGACATTTGCACTAGACTTTTTACTGCAGCTCAATTAACAATCACCAAAAACTGGAAACAATCTAAATGCCTATCAACTCAAGAATGGATTAACAAGCTGTGGTATATGTATACCATGGAATACTATTCAGCCACTGAAAAAGATGGAGACTTTACATCTTTTGTATTAATCTGCATGGAGTTGAAAGATATCCTTCTTAGTAAAGTATCACAAGAATGGAGAAGAATCTAATGAACTCAATAGTAACATGAAGCCAGTAGACAATCTAATATACACCCACATAAGAGAAAAACTCAAATTAATTCAAAGTGGGGGGTGAGGGAACAAGGGAGTGGGGGAAAGGGAGGAGGGGGGATGGAGGTACTCCCACTTAATGGACAAAATGTTAGGGTATATGACAACCTCTTAGGAGTGGGACACAATTACAAAAGGGACTCTACCTAACAAATGCAAATTTGTAACCTAATTCTTTGTACACTCAAATTAACCTGAAACAATAATATAAAAAAAAAATAAGCCTTTATTTAGTAGGTTACAAAATGTCTTAGATTCTTTAAGTAGAAAAGATAACTACCATGCAAATCTATCATATCAAATACATGACTATTTTGCAAAGCATCAGAGATAATCTAAAAAAAGTTTATATTTTTCAAATAAACACAAAATAAGCCAATAAATTCTGAATAAGTAGTAACAACTTTATTTTAACTCAATGTGTGAAATGCAAAAAATATTTTCAGCAACAAGATCCAAGTAGTATGTATCTCATCATTAACATCAGCTGCTTAGAAATGAGGCTGTAAAGTTCAGTATAAGTTTTTATACATTTGAATCTTGAAAATCAATTTCCCCCAGATTTAATTTTTAAATAATTTTTGCAGATTTTCAAAAATGGGACTTTATTTTTCATTCTTTAAAAACTTAATTCAAAATTTCTTAGGTTACAATATACAATGATTAACAACATAAAAAGATTTAAATATAAGAATGCCTTTTCAAACACAAAGTTCACATACTGCAAACAGAAGACACTGTGATTTCATTCCTAGTGAAGAGGAAGTCTTGCATATGGTAGGCACTCGATATTTTTCAACTGGACCTAAAATATACATCATTCCATGAACACTTAAATAAAGTAGAGCTTGTAATCTCTATTAAAAAGGTTTGTAAAATACTCTCATGTGTGCTGAAAGTGCTATATTTATAATCTGAGCACACCAAAACAAATCCACTCACCCACCCACCTTCTTTTGCAAGAATACATTGAATATTTTTTCCATCAAAGAACATGCTTGTCCAAGTCAGAATAATTCACCTCTTCAAGTATAGTTGGCTATGATTGAAGCTTGTTGAGTTGAATTTTCATAAACCTTAACTTACCAAAGTACCCATTCCATTTTAGTAACACTGGGTAATATTTATGATCCACAATTTTATAAAGAATGTCTGTGTAGATTTTAAATTTATACCTAAAATTTAAATGGGTAAATGTAACAATTATACTTTTGGCTATTTAAGCTTTTAGTTAGATCTACTACTTTTAAAAACAACCAATAGTGTTTATGACAACTTTTTACAAGATTTTTGTTAATATTTTAAATTTAATTTTATTATAACTGATGTCCAAAAAAGGCACTGTTTTCACATTTCATTGTGCAGTAATCAGTTTTGAGAATTATTTCATCTGTCAATTATCCTGCATAATAAAGCACATTAAAATGAAATATTTCAACTAACCTAAATTTTCAACATTTAACTGGTTCCTATTTGCAGAAATTCACTCTTTTGAACATAACGCAAAGCCCAAGTGAATACTGGTATACAAATACACACACACACACACACACACACACACAATGACCACGTAATTCATGCAAGGTTCTTCAATTACCAGTTCCAGACAATGACACGTGACTATTCAAGGAGGTAACATTGGCAAGCCATATTATGGCACTTTCATATTTGTGCTCAATATTAAAATTTAAAAATGAAAAAGGCACAAATACAGTGTTTCTAAATCTTAATCTAAAGAAAAGTTATCCAATGATTATTTTTAGAATATTTAATGTTTAAAACCATTCACTACTCTCTATCTACTTTCTATGGAAAAGAACTGTTTAGGTGACAAAGGGGAAATAGGAACAAGGTGATAGTTCAAAAGTCTGAACAGAATCTGTGTCCATTTTGAAAACAATGTATGTAGTTTAAAAATGGCAGGAAGAGGGGCTATTACAGCATTAATGTCAAAACATTTTAACAGTTTTTTATCATTGCTTCAAGAACCCACAACCAAAAATATACATAATAAATAAAAAAATAAATCAACTACCATATGATTTTGTTAGTATAATGGTAGGCATTATATTATCTGAGAAGGGGACATTTCTACAAACATGGATATTCTTATAGCACAGTGTTGGACATTTTTGGTACAAAATGTGCTACCGAACTAAAAAAAAAAATTTTTTTTTCTAATAAAATCTTTAAGAACTGCAATAAACACTACAGTAAATAAGACCAAGCTGAAATGCTTATTATATGGTATTACTGCAGTCACTGTGTTAGAAATGTAGATTCAAGCAGTGAATTAATTCACAATGTGCCGGTATGGTGTGCATTTGATATACATGGATACAATAATACCTTTTTGACATTTGACATACATAATTATATAGCCTGAGGGAATTTTTGTTTCCATGTAAGACCCTGGCAAAATCTTAAAAGTGTATATACATGTATGTGTATTTTTTTAAATTGTACATTGTAAACTCAACAGGCTCAATCTCATGGTGGAGTTAAAGAAGTCAAATTTCTCCTTTCCATAACACTCTTACATAAGATGAAGTTCATGATCTGGTAAGAATCTTTCTTCTACCCTAAGGGATTCCTCCTTTTTCAAATTTAAGTTACCATAACAGTGACTCAAAACTACACAGAAACAAATTAAGATATCTGAAAATATCATTTTTCAATTTCCAGTTTGCTGGGGATGTTTATCTGACAGTGTTTGTTCAATGCAAATATGAATCACTCTTGATATATTAGGATTGCTTCAGTTAACACCTAGAAAAAGTAGCAAAAATAAAATCTGTTTGAAAACCTCAAGCTTCATTTTTTTTCCTTTGTCCTGAATTCCAAAATTAAATTAACAAACTATATAAGTTTTAGTCTGGAGAATAAAGTTATGCATTCAAGCTTACAAGTATATGAATTTTTCTCCAGCGACCCACTTCTTCCCTTGTGGTCAAATATAAATGTTGCCTAAGAAGCATGTTGTCCCTATCACACTAAGTCTGATGTAGTGCCCTAACAATGATCACTCCTGCTTCTCGGGGACAATGCACCAGAACACACTTCCATGAGAAACAACAATCAAACACTGAATATGTGTACGTGTTTAAAGCTAAAATTCATTTATAATAAAGAACTGGCCCATGAAAAGCAGTTTATAAATAGTTTATCCTGTTCACATTATGCAGAATTTCAATATCATCCACAATGTTACTACAGTAACTAAAACACAAAGGAGAAAACAAGAGGGGGCGGTTTCATAGTGTGGCCTGACATAGTCTAGGAGTTCTCTCCTTTAGTATGCATCTCCCACAGGCAAATGGTATCAGTTCATTTTTTGAAGGAGAGTAAACTATCCAGGATTCATTTACTGTTCAGGTGCCTTTTCCAAAGTGTGATAAAACAGGTATATATTCAATAATGAATATCTGTAATCCCCTATAATCCAGGATATCTTTCTTATCAATTATCACAATCATCTCAGTTGCCTCCATCTGTCTTAAAAAATTCTTAAAAGTTAAGACACAATTAATTATACCTTATTAATTCCCTCAAAAGCAAAAAAATATATGTACCATTCAACATACAAAAGTTACACATTAAAAGTGCATATATATCTTTCTTAATTGGCCCACTCATTAAATTTACATTTGGTCATCCTACTTTTAACAGAATTCTTCATATAAATGTAGGTCAATATAAATTAAAAAAAATTACTTCCATACAATTCATGCTTTTGTCATGAAATCAAAATCTCAATCAGTTCTCAATCATTGTAAACTTGAGTAAACCCACACTTTGTTAGACAGTTAACATACATACAAACATCACAAATTTTACTAAAAATCTGGGCCAATTCATTGCATATTTGCCCACTGAAATGAAAATAAATTAGAATTGAAGCAGTGTATTGCCATAACTTACCTTGTAGGTAAGCAGGTTCTCCTATGTTTATAGATACTTAGACTGGAGACATTACTGGTCATCTCCAACAAGTGCTTTTAAGGAGATCCTAGTTTTAAACTTTGAGATAGCATAGGACAAACCCCGTAAAACTCATTTTTCTTTTTCAAAATAATGGAAGATCCTTTTGAAACGTATTATCTTCAGTCATCAGTATTACTACATTATGGAGCTAGTGCAATCCTGCATAGCCTTGGTCAAAATGACAAGGCACAATAAAAAAATTAAAGTATTATATGAACAAGAGAAGTCATCAAAGATAATTTAAGGCCTTGAAGTGAATTAATCAGTCTAATTTAAAGCTGAAGAATAAATTGTAAATTATCCACCTGAAATGTAAGCAATATGCTTTTTCAGTTTCTGTTCTGTGGATAAAATAACAGAAACAACTCTTGTTTATGGTTTGTGTATTAGAATCCTTCTGGACCTGGAGGAGTACAAGTTAATTCCACTTTTCTACTACTCATGGAAGATTCAAGACTGTTTTAGTCGTTTGCGTGGAATGCCGAACTGTGGACACTGTGCAGATGCTAGTGCTCGGAAGGCTTCTGCTACTAAGTGAGGGTGAGACTGAATCATGGACTTCCATCCTGATGTTTCCATTATGTCGGCTGCTTGGCTTAAAAATAAAATTAAGAGATGTTTACTAAAGAATTGTTAATTTTTTCATTGTTTTTAATTGTCTATTTCAAAATGCTTGAACACTATCTACTGTGTATTCAAAACATTTGACTTTATTGAAATATCATCTTTATCTCACTGGTATTTTCTGTAGCAACTATTACATTTTTTTGGAAGTTCTACTCTCCTGAAGTATGTGAAACTGGTCTCCATAGTTCCACTCCCATTATAACCATTTCTGTACCAGCTCTTTCAAGAGCCCCTTTCTCTTCTTTTACCTACCTCTAGTAAGGCAAGTTCAAATTTTTGTCATCTACTCTCCTCCTTTAACATGCATTATTCATTCTATCTATCCATTCTTCATAATTTTAACTCCAGCAACCCACTTCTTCCCTTATTAAATCCTAGGCCTCCTAACAGGTTCATTTCTAACCACCTGCTCTTTTTACTTAGATATGTCCCAAGACCCATATATTTAGTATTGTTAGACAAGAACTTATTCTCTCTCACCTCAAGCCCCAAATTCTTCCTCACACATTTCCAGTTAGCTGAAGCTTCTACAATCACCCAGTGATTCAAGTTAAAAAACCATGCTCCACTCTGTCCTTTCCAATCATCAAAACCCTAGCTTAAGGATTGAAATGTTATCCTAATGTTATTTTACATAGTTTTCCAAGATCTGACCTTTCCTGCTTTCTCCATGTGCTTCTCATTTATATGTCCTCTCCCTCACGCTCCTTCCTTTTCTGTTCTTTCTCATCAACAAAATTTTGCATATCCTTTTTCTGGGATATACTTTTCTTCCTCTCTTCCCATTTTTTCACCAGGGCAACTCCTACCAATACTTCTGGTCTTAAATTTTACCACGGTTTCTTGAAAATGATTTCTCTGACCTCTAGATTAGATTAGGTCCCTTTGTTATATGCTCTTATGGGTATGCTGCACATTCTTTCTCATACTTTATTGCAATTACTTGTTTAATCTACTGCTAAGCCATTAACTCCATGAAGGCAAGGAAAACATCTGTGTTGTTCACCATTATGTTGGCTATATGGAATAAAGTGTCTTGGGAACTTATTGGATAATAAAACATAAGTATCTGTTAGATGAATAATCAACTACTACTTTATTCTTTTATACTTTGGATTATGCTATACTTTGTCTACTTTCTTGTTAGTTTTACTAACTCCTATTCATTTTTTAAGAACCAGCTCAGTCATCTCTAGGAAGCCATCTATAAATTTCTAGGTTTGTCTTAATCAGTGCCTGTATATATCGTCAAACATATTACTTATTATATTACAATGGGGTGATATATACTCATGTGTCTCCAATAGCTAAATTCCTGGAGAACAAGATTTCCCCCCTTCAGAATTTGTATATGCATCACCTTAGCATTGTACTTGAGATGCAATAGATGGTAGATAAATATTTGTTGAACTAAATAGTAGCTGATCTCAATAAAACATTTTATTTTAACAAACATCAAATTACCAGTGTGTCCTTATGTTAAAAATTTATGTGATTCTAGTTTAAAATCACACAGATACTTCCATAGATACTTAACATATCTAAACTTTTCATTTATTAATTCATTATCTACTAAATGTCTATACATACAACACACCTTCTTTAGGTAGTATAAAATAAGCTAATTTTTTGACAGTAAAAAAGTTTTACAACGTAAAGTTTTCCTACAGCTTGAAAGTAGCTAAGTACAAAGGATCACAAAATTGTCCTTTGCTGCTAATACAACATATTTTAAAGTCAAAATAATTTTTTTTAGGATCATATACCATGATGATATCATATAACATGCATTGACTAATATATAGGACAATAATTTAAAAATAGTCATTACTTTTTACTTTCAGAAAACAGAATTCACAAACTAATAGGAATTCAGTTAACCAACTTCACATGTATCAAAACAAGTGAAAGCAATGGGAAATAACTGAGTCATCTAATTAACTTTATTTTAACACTATTCTTTTCACTTTTCTTTTACCAACTTTTGATAATTTGGGAAAATGGAATTTAAGGGTTTATAAACAATACTAATCAAAAATGCATGCAAAATATTTAACTTATCAACTCTTCCCTTTTTGATTTAATTATAAAAAATAGGAAAGTCACTAGAAATGAAAAGGGAAAAAGTAGAGAACAATATATTCTAATAGTTTAAATTCAGAAGTTAAAGGCTTAAAAAGATAGAGGTATTACTCAACTGTTACAAGTTTACCAGAGACAAGAAAAGATCAAATTGCTACCACTTTTGGAATATTAAGCAGCTAGCCTAATACAGTGTATGATACAAGGTACTTGGGCTAACAGAAGAAGCCATGAGTTAGCATCCAAATGTAAAGGCTTTCTAAGGTAATCTAGCGGGTACATGGGTACATTCCTTATAAGATTAAATAAATATTTTCCACATTGTCTTTTGTTTGTTTGTTTTTTGAAATAGGGTCTGATTATGTTGCCCAGACTGTTCTCAAACTTCTGGGCTCACAGAATCCTCTCCTTTTTGCTTTCCAAGTAGCTGGGATTAAAAGCATGTGCCACTGCAACTGACTTCTCCACATTTTCAGAAATGCTTTCTAAAGGAGCAAGGGCAGGATCTCTAGCAGTCCTTATCATATAATACTTGGACTCAGCTATATACCATGTGGCATGTGTGCTTAAGAAATGAGACTATGTACCAGTTAGCACAAGATCCAAGAAGCTGATCTACAAGGGAGCACAGCTTCAGGAATCCACTAAGTAGTCTTTTTTCTTTTTAAATAACTGGCATTTTGCTTCATAAATTAACATCTAGATACATACTTATTGTAGATGAACAAAAGGCTATGCAAACAATTTCATTTAAACAGATCAACTTTAAGTCAGAAACTGAAGTCATCTTACTTGCTGTTCCAGTTTTTCCCATCTTTACACCCAAGTTGTCGAAGTACACTGCACCTGCATTGAAGATTTAAACATACTTAACAAAAAGTACAATGAAAAAATGTTGAAGGTGTCATATGCACTGAAATTGTAAGCATAGCTTACCTATTAATAAAATCTATGGCTTGTGCTTTCAACTGTTCTGCACTGTGCAAATCTGCAAGGACAAGGGTATCAGCAACATTTTCTACTGAGAGGTTACTACACAAAGCTTCTTCACACATGACCTTCAGCCGTTCCAGTGCATACTACCCAAAAAGAAAACATAACCATTAAACATTTACTCTAAGTTTCCAAATATGTATTTGTAATTTAGAAAATAAAAGTTAAAGCAGATTATTCTTTTTATTTTTCTTTAAGTCATTGGTTTAACTTAATATAAAGAAAATATATTTTATATATGAGTTTAAGAGAAAGACTAAAGTATCCAATGTACACATTGCTATTATGAAATTAATTTATACCTTTTATATGAAAGCTATAACCTAATAACAGCCTAAGAATACAGGAAGGGGGGAGGAAAGGGAGGGAGGGAATGGGTGGAGGGAGGGGGACTGGAGGGATCACTTCTGTGGTTTATCTTACAAGGGTACAAGTGAACCTTTCTAAGAGAATATGAACGTTTTGGCACAATAACTAGGTAAATGACATGAAGGGTATGTTAATCAGTTTGATGAAATGTTTCAAATTGTATGTGAAAACACCACACTGTACCCCAGAAATGCATTAATGTACATAGTTACCATTCAATAAAAAAAAAAAAAACATTTACAAAATGTTTAACAATTATCAAATTAAAAAAAAAGAGAAAGACTAGTTTTCTTTAGGAAATTTCAATTTGCATAACCTCAAAATAGTGTATTTTTAAAATAGGGTTTATGCTAAAAATCTACCTTATTAATACTCTCATTGAGTATATTTCTCTTCTTCACTTTTTCAAACACTAGAGCATATTACCCTGTACACTGCATGTTGCCACCTCAGTCTTAAATATGAATTCATGATAAAGCTAAACAAATTATATTCATAACCACCAAAAGTTCATACAGATATTTGTATATATGTTATACAATCCTTTAGCAGCTTTACTGAGATATAACTGACATACAATAAAGTGCACTTAAAGTTCACACTTTTTGAAAAGTTCATAGCACGATAAAATGCAATCATTACCCAAAAGTTTACTCCTATACCTTTGTAATTTGTCCCTCTCACCCAACCCAGGCAATAATTCTAATATGCTTTCTATCACTGTAGAATAGTTGGCATTTTCTGGAATTTTCTATAAAGGGAATCACACAATATATGATCATTTTTGTCTTGCTTTCTCATTAAGTATGTTCATTTTGAGATACATGCATATCATTGCTTACATACCAATAGTTCAAGCCTTTTTATTCCATTATATATAGTTATATCACAATCTGTTTATCCATTCACCTGTTGTTGAACATTTGGGTTGTTTCCAGTTCTTAACTATTACAAATAAAGCTGCTAGGAATATTCACATACAAGTCATTGTATGGGCATAAGCTTTTTCTTCTCTTGGATAAAAACCTAAAAGTGGACTTGCTGGCTCACAGCTTCTAAGTCTATGTTTAATTTTTTAAGAAACTGCCAAATAGGTTTCAAAAGTGGTTGTATCATTTTATATTTTCTATCAGCACTGTATGAGAGTCCAAATTTTTCCACAACCTTGATAACAGTTAACATCATCTTTGTGGTTTTAGCTGTTAAACTGGTGTACAGAAGTATCTATTTCTGTAATGACTATGACATTAAGTAGCTTTTAATGTATTTCATTCACATTATTTCATAAAGTATCTGCCTAAACATTCTATCCATTTTTAAAAATAACATTTTTTCCCTTATATTTGAACCTTCAGAGTTTTTTATATTCTTGATAAAAGTTTCTTAGATTTACACTATGCAAATATTTGCTCCCAGTCTGTGACTAATCTTTTTATTCTCTTATGTCTTTTGAAGTTCATTTTATCATTTTTTTCTTTTATGGATCAAGTGTTTTTGGTGTCAAAGCTAAGAAATCTCTGCCTAACCCAACATCACAGAGATTTCCTACTATGTTTTCTTTTAGAAGTTTTAGATTTTTAGGTTTATGATCCATTTTGCATTACTTTTTATATATGGTGTGAGCTATGTATCAAAGTCCATTTTTCGTACGTATGGGTATTGTTATTTCTGCACATTCTGTTAAAGACTGTTCTTTCTCCAGTGAATTGCCTTTGTACTTTTGTCAAAAATGAAATATCTATATATGCGAGTCTATTTTGTACTATTGTTCACTATTTGTCTGTCTTGACACTAATACAACACTGCCTTAATTACTGTAGTCTTTTTTTTTGAGACGAAGCCTCAAGCTGTCCCCCTGGGTAGAGTGTCGTGGCATTACGCTCACAGCAACCTCCAACTCCTGGGCTCAAACGAGTCTCCTGCCTCCGCCTCCCAAGTAGCTGGGACCACAGGTGCCCGCCACAACGCCCGGCTATTTTTTGGTTGCAGTCATTGTTGTTTGTCAGGTCCGGGCTGGGGATTCGAACCCGCCACCTTAGGTGTACGTGGCTGGCGCCTTAGCCGGTTGAGCTATAGGCGCTGAGCCCATTACTGTAGTCTTAGAGTAAGTCCTGATACCATGCAGTGTTAGTCCTCTACTTTAATCTTCTTTTTCAAACTTGTTTAATCATTCTAGATTCTTGCACTTACATATACATTTTAAATCAGCCTGTCAACTTCTTTAAATTAAAACAAAAACCTTTTAGGATTCTGATATGGACATTTTAATTCTACTATCAATTTTAAAGAAAATCAAAATATTAACAACATTGAGAATTTCAATTCATGAGCAAGATTTATCTTATATATTTAGGTTTTCCTGAATTTCTTTTAGCATTATTTTGTAATTTTCAATATTGAAAATCTGTCACACTTATGCCTATGTATTTAATATTTTTGATGCTACTGTAAATGTTATTTTTTGATGTAAATTTCAAGTACAGTTTTAAGAAACAATAGATTCCATATATACATGACCCAGTTTCCCCCAGTGCTAACATTTTCCAAGTGTTAATCTGTCTACATACACATATACTATATACAAGTATACTTTATACATCAAATGTGGTTTTTGGATTGAGAACTATTGGCTTTGAGATTTTTCTGATATTTTTAGTTTCACTAACTCTAAAAAAGTCACTATTACAAAAGATTATTATAAAATTATTAACATCATGTCTTCTCTTATGCTGTCATATTAAAAAATGAATTCTATGAATATAGAGAATTATATTATACAAAATATCCAGTATTTTCTCACTTTTTAAAAAGGTCATGCACTATACATTAAAACTAACAATATTGAAAATTACAATAAATTATACATGCTACTATGTGTCCTTATAAAAAAGAATACACACTTAAAACTAATGAGTTTTCACTTTAATCTCCAAAGATGGGGGAAAATTGTTTCTTTTGGCTCAAGATCTTTTTACATCTTGTTGATTTTTTAAAAAAAATCTCATTCCACATTATCCCACTATATGCTACTTCATAAAACTCTCAAGAACCATCTACAAATAGTAGAAATTAATTCAATATTTCAAGTCATTTGGAGTTTTCATTTGCTGGTCACCTTCCATATACATTGATTTGGAGCATATTTTTCAGCTCTTTAAGACCTAATTACTTACTTTGTCTGCTGCTGCCAACAAGTTGTCAGCCATTTTGTCAAGGTTTGGTGCTTTCCCTGTGTAAATGAATCTCATCATTTCTTTAAAAACCTCAGGGTCTAAGTCATTTATTTCCACTCGATTCTGATAGTGAAAACAACAAAAAAGTTAAACTTAGAGAACATACACAACACATACCAATCAACCAAAGGGAATCTGACAGTAATTTAAAAGCCTCAAATCTACACTAAAGTACTTTATAACTCAAATGGACATATACAGATATTTCTAAAGTCTATTTTAAAATTTAAGTAAGTAAATCTTCACTATGATAATTAGGCAAAGAGAAATGGGCAAGTCTAAAAGGAAAAGCACATAATATGTGAAAGATGTCCATCACCAGCCCTAGAGCCCAGACCCTGACACTTCGACCATGCCAACCAACACTATGTGGGAATATAAGCCTCAATTTCTCAATAAAAAGAGTTTAAAAGAAAATAAACAAAAACATAGGCCAAACAAAATGCATCTGTGTTCAGTTTCTGACATCTATACTACAGGATATTGACTATTAACTTTTTCTTTGTTGAATTCCTAGGTCCTAACATAATGCCTACAACCCTATAACCACCAGCTCTATTCCCAGTATTAAGCAAAAGATAGGGCCAGGTGTTTGAGATAATAACAGATAATAACTACTTCAGAACTCTCCCTTTTGCAAAAATGGCATGTATTATTACTTATCATCACTTCCTTGCTTACTCAAAGCAGTCAGGACTAAAGAGGACTAGTGTCTCTTATTTTTGCATTTGGTTTTTCTCCTGAAATCAATGAAGCTAAACGTCTGACTCTTAAGAGACAACTTTTCTCACCCTTTGCTGTCAATGACGTCTGACATCACTGACATCTTCCCACTTGGAAGTTATCAGAAGGCTGATCAAAGCAGCTTCGCAGACCAACCATCAGAGGAAGAAAGCAGCTATTTTATTATAGCTTCTAGTTTTGCAGAAACAATGAAGTTGAACTACACAAATAAACTCTGAAGCTGTCTATCTGGAGCCCTAAGGCTCACGTGTTATGCAACCAGCAAAGAATCATCCTCTGATCTCTAATATATTTCAAGATAACAGGTTAAAGAGAATCATCTGTGGGAACCAAACAGGTAATATCTTGATTCCAGTTAGTGTATAATAATACTGGAGTAATCTATGTCCCTTGTCTTAAGCCTAATAAATATCCACTTATTTTAGTGATGACAACAATGTAGACATTATTTTTGTGGCCAGAAAACAAATTCCAAAATCAACCCATGAAGTCTACGAAGGGGGAATGTAATAATACAATTTAATGAGAGGCCTCTCAAATAGTTATGTACCAGAATTGTACTTTTAGATAACAACTACACGTTTATTTACCTACCAGACAGGTATAAAATAGCTGTTACTTGGAATATTCACTGAGCATCCACACTAAGTTACATCTATTGTTCTATTGGAATATTCACTGAGCATCCACACTAAGTTACATCTATTGTTCTATTACAGAACACATTTTTTCTCCTCATCTTTTTATTTGGTTCTAAAATGTTTCCCCAATTATCACAGCATGAGATCATGCACCACTGCTTTTAAAATATAAATTCCACTATTTTACATTTGTAGAAATTAAATATTAGCCTTGAAGCCATGTTTACCTTTTTGCTTTCTTCCATTTCATGTTCAAACATTGCATTAAAAACTGGGGATCGTGCTGTAATAAGATTAAGCATCATTATTTCACACATAAACTTGTCTTAGAGAACACACCACATCACCCTGAAGTGGAAAGTACCTGCAAGCACAGATTTATGAGCTTGAAATTCATGTCCTCTCACAAAAAAACTGCAATCTGTGAATCTCGTATTTTCCCAGAGATTACCTAAATCTTCTGCTAGTCGACATTCAGGCACCTTCAAAGTATTTGTATTAGTATGTCCTGATATATTAACTGAATCTTGGACCACACTCACCTAATAAAAAAAGGAACAGCAAAAGAGACACTTTCACAAAGTAATATAAACAGTTGCTTTCTAAGTCTATACTTAATCTTTTTATGTTTAAGATTGTTTGGATGATTCAATGTATTCCTAATCAAAAATCCTAATGTGCAGAAAATGAATTTAAGGGTACAATTTAAAGGAGAAATATTAAAAAAGATACAATGTAAGTATGTTTCCATAGTGACATTTTACATAAATAAATGAGTTATCAATTGATTGAATGTCTATTATTTTGATAATTACAAAAAAGAATTCGCAATTGAAAAGCTACAATATGATGTGAATTACAACAAGAAGAAAGTGTTTTTGTATGGTAAAGGAAGAAATTCCTTTCTTTTTTCCTCACATATGGACAAAGTGACTCATGCCTGTAATCCTAGCACTCTAGCAGGCAGAGATAGGTATATTGCTTGCGCTCAGGAGTTCAAGACAAGCCTGAGCAAGAACAAGACCCTGTCTCTAAAAAATAGCTGGGCATTGTGGTGGGTGCCTATAGTTCCAGCTACTTGGAAGGCTGAGACAGGAGGAACACTTGAGCTCAGGAGTTTGAGGCTGCTGTGAGCTATGATGACACAGCACTCTACCAAGGGTGACAACGTGAGATTCTAAGAAACAAACAAACAAAAAACACAGCAAAAGGCTCATAATGATTTTTTTACAGTATAAAAACAGGTTATAAAACTATAGCCTATCATACGCAAATTTGAAAATTTTCAAAGTATTATTTCCACGTTTCAACTTTAATAAAATTTAGTTAACTATATGGCAAAGCTGATTTAAATTTTAAGTTGTAAGTATTCCCACAAAATTGCGATTCTAAAAGTTCACAAAAATATTTTATGAACTATCAAAGCAAGAGCAATATAAATATAATTAATTCTGTTTGCACACTTGTTATTCACCTAGGAAATAACCAATCAATAAAGTATTATTACACTACTTTTATGTAGATTCCAATGTGATATGGATTAAAGATACATGGATTACCTCCCATTAAAGATAATTATATACTAAATAAAATCCTAAAACACTATTGGTAAGTCTTGCTTGTATACCAGCTTTAAGAAAAGGTATTTCACTATATTATTGGAAATTTTATATTATATTTAACAAATTAAAGAAAACATCAACTAGTAAAAAATGTTTCAACTAGTAAAAAATGTTTCAGAGTAAATATTCAACTAGTAAAAAATGTTTCAGAGTAAATAAACCTTTTCTTTAAAAAAAAGTAAAAAGTACTACATCAGGTTATCTATTGTTTTGAGGTGCTAAATTTTGGTGTCCTCTGTTATGAAATCAGATACCTGCATTCATTTAAAAACATTTTATAAAGATTTTATAAAATATAAGTATAAATAAGAACACATATAAATACAGTAAACAATGTAGAATATATTAATCAGAAATGGGTAAGTCAGACCAAACTACTAACGTACAAAACATGCAGTGTAATAATGGTCCAGTGGAAAATGTTTAGAGTATTAAGTCTCAGAAGTCTCAATTCACCCAGAAGTACAAACATAAATCTCCTGTGAACAGATACTTCTACAGAAAAACCAGAAAATTTCAGTCTTTCAGAAGATATTTTTATTAATCACATTTTCCCCCTCAACTTGCATGTTAATGCTTGAAATCACTTGTGTCATAGTAATCATAAATCACCTTATTTTTTAAAATTTTACATTAATATGAACGTACAAATGATTTAATTACAATATTTGCATTTGCTAGGTAAGGTCCCTGTTGCAGTTGTGCCCCTTACTCAGAAGGTGTGCCATATACCCTTACACTATACCCATTAGGTGAGACGTTCATAACACTTTATAAAGAGATTTCAAAGTGAGATCAAGACAAGGTATAGAACACTGCCAGTTATTATGAAAGCAAAACTAAATCTAAATTTCCAGTTGTCTCTTTTATGGCTCTTTGTACAAAACAATACTTTTTTGATATTATTTAAAATTTAAATTACTTCAACAAAATTATTATCAAAAAGTATTTATCATAATAATTTTCTGAGCTGTTTTTCTAAACATAAGAACCAAGATATTACCTACCAAAAAGGTTCTTCCATCCCATCAAATTTAAATTATCTCTAAAATTTTAATAACTACAAATAAAAAGAAAAAAAAGGAAAAACTTCACTACTCTTTACATGATTATAACCTTATGATATAGAAACCAAAAACCTGTTCTAAGACTGAAAGTATGTGCAAGAGTTATAAAAATGTAATGGAATAATTACTTTGGGGAAAGATTTCTTATATTCTATTTATTGTCTAAAGCTATTTCAAAATAATATAATGTAAAAGTTAAAAAATGCATTAATATCAGGCATATTTATTGATGTCCCATTTATATTTTATATAAAGCAACCATTATTCAGAATAATTTATATTACTAGCATACCTATCTACATAGCATTATCACAGCAATCACTAATTTTCACTAAGACATATAATTAACATTTCATACTTCAAAGAGTATTCAAGGGACTATTTATAGAGCAGAAATTAATGATCTAATTAAAAATTAATAGGCAATGAATTCTGATTATTCTCTTGATACCTGTAATTAAAAAGAATGATAAAAATTTAGTTTTTTTAATCATGTATTCAAATATTGGTAATAAACACTCTTAATGAATGGAACCTAGAATGAAAAATTCAGGAAAAAGGCTGAGATTCTTTCCTAAGGTCAAATTTGTTTTCTTCTTTAAAAATTAAAAGAAGAAAAAATGCACAGTACTCTAAAATGTCAAATGTTGCAAGTAAAAACCTCAAACTCATTTAACATCCCTTTTTCAAATTTGCTTTTGGCTCAACTCTAAGAACATAATCTAGACTGAAGATGAATATTTGAAGGATCTAATCAATTTTGTGACTATCCCAACAACTTGGGTCTCCTGTAATGTGAAACTAAGGTAACTACTGGTTCCAATTTTTAAAAATAAGATTTTTCCAACTAGGAAAAATTTTAATAGCTAGGAATTTCCAAAGCTACACAGTTCTACAATTTTGCCACTCTAATAACTGCTTATCTACTCCTTCCAAAGTGAAAAATTCATAACAGTCCACTATCACATTACCTTTTAGAATAGAGGGTCCTAGAATTTTTTTTTTTAAACTTTTGTAAACAGGTATCATTTTTAAAAGTCTGGTGACAGAAATAGGGTAGTCAACTTTTCATTTTGCCAAAAAGGTTTTATTTAGAAAATAAAATCCTACTTCAATCCATGTTATAACAACTATTTAAAAACACAAGGGCATCTGCTATGCTTGGAATGTAGCCCCCAAAGTTCATGTGTTGCAAATTTAATATCCAATGCAATGGTGTTGAGAAGTGATACTTTCCAGGGTGATTAGGTCACCCTCATAAATGGATTAATGCCTTTGTTAAGAGAGTAGGTCTGTTAAATCAGAGAGTAGGTCTGTTAAATCAAATGCTGGTATTTTCTATATCTTTTACCATGCTATAATGCAACAAAAAGGGCCTCACTGGATGCAGTGTTAGTCATGGACTTTGCAGTCTCCAGAACCATGAGCTAATAAATGTCTGTTCTTTTTAATTACCTAAACTCATGCATTCTGTTATAGCAACAAAAAATGGTATAAGATGGTAACTTAGCAAAAGATAGGATGGAAAAAAGATGTGTCTTTAAAAATAAATTAGTTTAGCTTTATGAAAAACTCGTATTTTATCTGTGCATATGTATTTTTCTATACATTACGGGTTTGTAGACTATTAGGATATTTAAAATCTGTTGGATTTCAAAACCAGTTTTCTATTTTTCCTATTCTTCAATTTCTGTTCTCTGGATTCCTTTGGAAGAGAGAGGATAGAGATGTTTACATTGGTAGACATCTCTATCTCTGGCTACTTCAACACCGTATATAAAACTTGTCTAAGATTAAACTATGTTTTACAGAAAAAGAGTAGCACCCAACTGCCTTACCTGTCTACAGCACCACTTGCAGGGGAGGGGGAGGAGGCAGTTCTTTAGGTAGGGCAGTGCAATGCTTCCTCCTCTTCTGCAAGCAGTGCTGGAGATGCTGTAGAAGGAAGGGCATCCATGAGAGGGGTGGAAGAAATGATGGAGGGCATGAAGAATGCTGGTTGAAGTACTTTTTGCCCACCTATGCTAAATATGGTGCCCAGGTATAAGTCTACATTAGTTAAAATAAGGTATATTTCAGGATCTAAAAATGAATCTGATCAATGCCAATTTAAAAATCTATGTTAAAAAAATAATGTATGTCATAGTGAGTTCTATTTTTAGGGTTGCTAGTGTTTATAATCTAGCATAAGAACACTAAGCACACTTCAAAAATACCTATCAAAAAGAAGGTCTTAAACTTAATTTCAGCCTTAATTCTGAATTTCTTGGTTGTCTAGGTTCCAGGAAAGTATACTTAGAAAAAATATTTGTAATATTTCAATCTTAAAGTAGTATTTTCTAAAAATGTTTACTCATAAAAAAACTAGCTGCAGTGTATCCTTTAAATTCTAAGATAACATTTTCAAAAATGAACATGTTAAAAATTCTGAACGTTAAGGGCATTAAAAAAGTTAAATAGTGTAACATATTTATGCACATACTACTTAGAATATCTGTTTATTGGTAACCAGTGCTCTTGTTTTTTTGTTTTTTTCTGAATTATTTAATGATTAGCTCTGCTCAAGAGACTTGTGGTATGTGTTTTATCAACCAAATAATTGTATTCACAATTCATCATACAGTTCATTTAACTTGTCTAACTGAAAATAAGATGCACTATGTAGTCTCTGGGGCCATATTTCAATTATTCTTCTGACATAAAATAATGTTATACAATTAGTTTGTAATATTTCCAAGAAATTTTACACATTTACCATAAAGAGATTAAAACTAATTTAATTACACTTAAGTAGTTATCATGTTTCTAAGACACAATAACCTGTAGAAATATATTTAATATTGAGTTTACCTGATCACAGCCTTTTCAACTACCTTTCTTATGAAAATTATCAACTGCCTTAAGCATTTCAATAAAACTGTTTCTGATGTATATTCTCTATAAACCATTTCGCTAGCATAAAATCATCTGTAAATGCACTTTAAAGATTATTCTTAAAATTTCATAATTAATTACTGGCAACAATGACAAAAGCAAATCCAAACCTCAGATTAAGACAAATCATAACTTACTGGCAGAGGTAATGCTATCAACTTTCAAAATATGTCATTTTGTGCATATAACATACCTAATAAGTTTGTCAACAGACATGGGCATATCTTAAAAACTTTAGAACTATTCTTAGAACGCTATTTGATTAAATTAATCTAATTCCCTAAATAATCAGAAAGCTTCCCAGTCTTTTTCTAGTACTTTTGGGTTAAAAGTGATAAACTCAAAAAAAAAAAAAAAAGTAATAAACTCTAAGAAATCATATGTCATATAATCAATCTAAAAATAAAAAAAGACCATTTATATCAAAGATATACTTTTTAAAGATTAATACTTTGAAATTTTTGTGTAAAATACGCACATCTATAGTCTTTTCAAGAGAATGAAAGTTAATATGTAGTAGCATAATTGTACATACAATTTATAGCTAGAGACATGACAAAATCTTTTCAGACTGGGCCACCACATTGATTTATAAAAGACTTTTGTCCTCTTTTTCTAATCAAGAATTTACAAATCAAGCCCAATCAAATTATACTAATTATTTAATTTTTAAAGTATACCCAATATTAATCCAGTTTATACTTTTGCACATATTTTAGTACACTAAATATGACCATGGAGTTCCTTAGAGTAAAAAATGTACCCACCTCACAAAATAATGTAAGCTTGTCATCTGGTAAAAGACCATTAGCTTCATCAAGCAAAAAATCCCTTCTAATGAATTTTTTAAAACCCCAGTCCTTCCCTTGCACAAATCGATATGCTCTTTGGCTTTCTGGTGGAAAACAGAATAGGAATTTAAATAAAACAGTATCCAAAAATCATTTTTCTTCATGATAACCCAGTTAAAATGTACAGAAATAGAACTTCACCAATATATCCATCATAAAATTTACAGATATTTGTGTTGATAAACAAGATATTAACAACAGTTAAGTTACATAAAACAGATCACTCCACATGGTTACTTAAATTTTGGCCACTGTTAATGAGCTCAATTTCAGACTTCTAGATCTCTAAGTAGAAAAGCCAGACCAAATCTCATGGAGAAGGAAGAGATCTTTTTAACAACCTCCAGGCCTCAAAGACAATGAAATGGGATCAAAATATATTGGTATAGGTATAATACTCATCATCTAACATCAGAATCTGGTTAGAATATACTTATCATTTTCTGTTTTTTCCCCATAAAAATGGATGTTGTAAGTCAAATAAGGCATCTTTTAAGCTGGCCTATCAATCCCACCGATTTAAGTTTTACTCAACTGCAGAAAAATCTAACTGGTGAAAGCTAAATAAGATCCTTGGCTGGCATTCATCCTTTCTTTCTTTGGGATGCCATGCCCTCCTCTTGCTCCTTTTCTCTCTCCCACATCCCATCTTCCCTTCCTTCACTCCTGGCTCTATGTTCTCTTCTCTCTCACACACATCACTTCTCTCCTCCACTTCGAATATAAACTTACACTTTTATACTCCCCAAAAGATCCTTATAATTCCTAAGTCTCTAAACATAATCCCCTCTCCTATTAAAAAAAAAAAATTCCACAGAAGCCCAAAAGATATTTTTACTATAATCTGCAGAAGATTTAATAAATCTGAACTATCAAAAGTACTATATAAAAACTGTATACCACAAAATAAACAAGAGCCTCTACAGAAAGTATTCATTATCTATTATATAAAGAATAAAAGAGGTGAAAAGCCAGTAATAAATCTAAATAGTGCTATACCATCTTAAAGGTGAGACAATGTGAAAATATGCATTATTTTGGCAGTAAAGGTATTATTTAAAAATGTGCATGGACTAGAATTTTTGTAATCAAGTTACTTGTTTCTATAATTCACTTCTAAAAATATTTAAAATTTAACTTGGCAGTTCATGGGATATTTTCCTATTATGCACAATGTACATTTCCCACTATACCTTTCTGTTATGAAGCTCCAGGCTATACTATTTCCTCTGCCTATATATGTAAATCATGGACTGAATTTAATAGATCCTAAACTAAGAAACAGTTTTTGACTTTAACAGGCCCTTTTAGTCCGTGTTCAGTTCGTGGCTCAAAAAATTCCAATGACAAAATATTAACATCAAGGCATTCATTCCCTTTCCTTCACATGCTTCTTTGGATTTTATTACCTGGCAAAGAGGACAAGGGAGAAGAGAAATGTTTCTTGAACACCTATGATATAGGCAAACCAGGCACCGTGCCCAAACAGCAACTATTTTTCTAAGTGACAAATGGATGTCAGTTTAAAACAAGAAGTTAAATTTTAATAGTATTAACTACTTTTATTAAGTCTAAGACTTAGTAAAACAGTTATTGCTGTATGCTGGAATTTGAAATTAAATAATGGCTAAATTAAATGATTTTGGTTAATTAAATTTTACTTGAAAAGAGAAACAAAACCCAACTTTTCTAGGTAAAGGTGAAGTCACAGTATGTAATTACAGAGACTTCTCCACTTAGTTTTCAAATAACTTACCCATTGCTTTTGTTTCTTCCCTTTTAGCATTCAGAAGGGAAAATTTGAATTTTGCTCGAACTTCACTTTTGGGGCAGCTGACTAAAAGCAAATATAAGGACAAGTAGTCCTTACTTTCATCATCTAATCCCTTTGGGTTTACCCTCAGGCACCTAAAATAAAACAATAGGCTCACATGGAGGAATACTTGAAGCATTCAAAAGAGAGAGGCAATACTAAAATCATTTGTTAACATTATCACAAACAGCATTCCTGTCAATATCCGATAGTTCTTTACAATTCACCATACTATTAGGAATATGTTACCAATCTAATATAAAATTAGACTAAAACCCCTTCAGGAACAACAATAATAATCAAACTGTAAGTAGCTGATGATCACATCAAAAACAAAAACCAAAATTCCAAATCTTACCATTTCATTTTGTCATTTGGGCTAGATGAAAATGTTGAACTTTTTAATACTTCACCCATTTCCTCTCGACAAAAACTGAAGTTATTAATGGTCCACATGTAGGAAAATTTTACTACTTTTACCTAAGAGATTCAGAAAACCACATTTATAATGATGACTTTCATGGTTTTAACTTGTTACATGTTAAACATTCTATGATCATTTTTCTAATGCTTCTATTAACTATGCCATAATAAAATGCTGTAAAATTTATAAATGACATAAAGTAAGGCATTTTTAACAGCGCATACCTGTGTATAACACCAGCTTTCTGCTATAGGACCAATAGACATATCTCCAGGTACAGGCGGGGTGGGTTCTTGAGACATTGCCACTTTATTGCAGTCTTTTAAGATATGCAGTATCCTACACAGTTGAGTACTTTACCTATAAAGAAAAGAAATTTGATTTACTGATCAACAAGTCTGACAGAATCAAGATACAAGATGTATTTAAATAGTCCTGAAACAATCAGGTTATAAAGCAGCAGTTCTCTTTGGGAGCAAGACACGATTCTAAGAGGGACTTTACCTAACAACGGCTGTCAGTGTAACCTGGTTTTTGTACCCTCAATGAATTCCCAACAATAAATGAAGCAGTGGTTCTCAACCTGTGAGTTACGACCCACAGGAACTGTATTAAAGGGCTGTAACATTAGGAAAGTTGAGAATGACTGGTATAAAGGAACATAAAGAATTACAAATAATTCAAATAATACTTAAGAAATAAAATCATACCTTGGTAATACACAGCACTTGAAATCTAAACATACTTTATAGATAAGACATTATTTTATGAAGGCAAGTTTCCCAAAATATCACAAATCAAAAAATAATGTACACTGTTTAAGAGTAAGATCATAAAATCACAAAATATCATGAAAACTTTAAGACATCAATATCTGATTCATTTTCCTTCATCTTTTCATTGACATATTTATGAAAATCTAAAGTTTAAAAAGTTAAAACTATAGATACTAGTCACTTATCTGTCAGACCCCAAAAGTTTTCAACAAGTAAAACACAGAATAGCATATAACAGGTAATGCTTTGTAAGAATTATATATATCTCCACAAAAGTTTATATCTATCTCAAATAGGCCCTCTGATAAGACCGCATCCCTATTAAGGTATTTCTTACTGAGACATACTATATTATGAAACTTTCTCCCATTTAGCTATTCTTATACTACATCCATTTAGAAGCATAATTAACTCTTCATAAGCTAGCCAGAATATTAATGACTAACATGATGCTATTTCACAACTTGGAAAATCTATAAAAGAGGCAAAATCACAATGTATATTCTGCAAGGCCAAGAAGGTTTCAAGATTACATTACAACATAGAGATTCAAGTCTGAGAACTCTCTTTTCATTAATAATAAGGGAAGAAAATTACATGAGTCCTATGAATAAAATTACTAAGGAAAAAAAAGGGGGGCTCTACCCAAAATGGAAAGGAAAACATTTGTACTATCTTTCTATTCCATAAAACAATATTATAAAATGAGAAAAAAAAGATTGAAGAAAGCTGCCTGAAAGACACAAAGAAACAAAAAGAGCTACGAAAGAAATACACTAAAAGACTGTACCACAAATAATAAATACATTTAAATGGGGAAGAGGAGGAGTCTGATCAATGCAAAGATTTCCCCAAATCTGAGAAAAGTGATTTAAAAAAGGTGACAGATACTGAAGACAGAAAATAAAATCAGAAATATTCAACAGATAATTGTCCTAGAAGCAGACTCTCCTTAGCTGAATGAAGAACTTGAACTATTCCATACAGATAAGCTCCATAATAACCAGAACAAAAAACCATCACTGACACATGGTTCTATAAAATTCAAATCTAGAAAAAAAGTTAAAAGTATATGTTTCTTGACATGAACACAAATCAAACCTAAGGAAAACAAAATAATTACAACATTTTTTTTTTTTTTTTTTTTTTTGAGACAGAGCCTCAAGTTATCTCCCTGGGTAGAGCGCCATGGCATCACGCTCACAGCAACCTCCAACTCCTGGGCTCAAGCGAGTCTCCTGCCTCAGCCTCCCAAGTAGCTGGGACTACAGGCGCCTGCCACAACACCCGGCCATTTTTTGGTTGCAGCCATTGTTGTTGTTTGGCGGGTCCGGGCTGGGGATTCGAACCTGCCACCTTAGGTGTATGTGGCTGGCACCTTAGCCGCTTGAGTCACAGGCGCAGAGCCACAACATTGTTTTAAAGACAAAGAAGATACATCATAAGAATTTTATACTGTATCATGTTTTTATTCATTTCCAGATGTGTGAAATATGTATGCCAATCTCACAGCTATGGAGGAAGAGATAAATTCACTATTTTCTAGCTAAGGACAGATGAATCAAAAGGAAAAACAAAACTCCCATAATGAAGACGTTCTAATTTTTATACCTTAACACATAAAACAAATTCATAATGTTTTGAAACTGAATGGACATCAAAAATATAATTCTTAAGAGACTGTGACAAAACAAGTTAACTGAGTACTAAGTAAAACTATGAAATAACAATTATTCTTAAGGCACAAAGTCAATGAGGCTAAGGCATAGTTTTGAAACATATAAATGAAGGAAGACATTAATCTGAATAATTCAGAAACAGCTGATTCAAATCAGAAGGCAGGTTTGGTGAAAAACCACTCCACCTCCTATGATTTAAAATTTAGTTCAAAAAAAGAAAATTTGTCAAATTAGTTATAATTAATTCGTTGACAGGTATTATTATTAAGTAGTCATTTATAATACACTCTTCAAGCTCAGGAAACATGTTAGTGAAAAAACACACAATGGGTAAATAATCAGGGGAAGAAACCATAATAAACAAAATCAAAGTAAGTAAAAAGAAATATAGGATAGAATAATTGCTATGCAGTGACTGAAAATTCTTTAATTAGATAGCAAGGAGGCTACTTTAAAACAGGGTAATCAGTTAAGGCATTTCTAAAGAGTTAATACTGAGGTGAGACCTAAAAGATTTTTTAAGAAACAGCAGAAACAAGTCAAGGGAAGATTGTCTTTAAGGGTAGAGAGAGCACAGCAAGTACAAATGTAGGAAAGAAACTAGAAAACTTTAGATAAAGAAAGGCATCCATGTGGTTGATGTCACTGAAGAATTTTAAGTAGGAGAAAAACAGTATAATTTAGAGAGTAGAAAGATGAGAATGACAGCTTTTAGGGACTAATTTGGCAATAAAGGATGGTGAAGAACAAAAGTAGGAAAACAAATTAGAAGGCTTGAGAGTAGTTTGAGTAGAGATAATGGCAACAGAATAATATGGTACAGCAGTGGAGATGGGGGAAATGGCCCATGGATTTGGGAAAATATTTTAGAATCAACAGAATTTGCACAAAATTAAAATTAAAAGGAAGAGCAATCAAGGATAAATTCTAGTTTGGGGCTTGAACAACTGGGAAGATGGTAATACTGTAAGAGAGAAGACAGGGACTACTATACTGTATAGTAATCTGGGGGACTTAGGGGATTCAATTTCAATAAGGTGATACACGAAACATTAGAAAATACTTCAAACAGAACTTCTAATCCTTTACGATTAGAATGCTTATGTAACTTTCATTTTCAGTGACAGAATCTATATTGTTGTATACAGACAACTGTATTTACAACTCACATACAAAATGAGTTCCTATCTTGTGATGTAGCTGCAGCACAACATTATGAACTGAGGAATCAGCAAGGCAGCCAGGATGACAACACTGCAAATATTCTTAGAAGCATTTAAAAGTCAACAATGAGCTTTAAATAAGTGAAATAGAGTGGATACTGCTTAAATAAGCAAGAATGGAACACACGATGTAAAAAATACCATTGCCTTAAAGTAAAGTGTAATGCAAATCACTTTAAGAACATTATACTGTGACATTGTTAACAAGAATTATTTATTTCTACATAAAAAGTAACTATTTCTTTTAAGTATCTCTAGTTGTTATATTCAATTACTTTCATAAACCAGAAATAGTTATTAATGTATTTTTATCTGAAAATAGTAATATGTAGGTAGTCACAAAAGTTGAGATCACTAAGAGTACCACCACCATTTTAAAAGATGTTGGTTAAGAAAATGAAGATATTGTCCCCATGAGTTTTCAACTGCTTTATTGAGGCATAATTTTCTGTTATTGTTGTTTTATCTTTTTTTTTCTCCCTTTGGTCTTCCAGTGAGGACCAAAAACCATCTAGACAAACTCTGAAAGAGCAGTTAACACTTACTGAGGTATAATTTACATACAGCAAAGTTCACCCAGATCAATGATTTTTAGTGACTTCATACAGGTAGCTGGTGCACCAATCAACATAATGCCATTATAGCATACTTCCATCATTCCAAAAATGTCTATCTCCAAGCCCAGATAACCACTAACCTTCTTTCTTTAGTTACAACTTATCTACAAATTTCATGAAAATAGAATTGTACAATAGTCTTACGTATGCCTCCTGCCTTTTTTCCTGAATATGTTTGTTTCCTATTTCTTTGCATGTCTCAATTTTTGGTTGAAAGCTGGACATTTTAATATACTATAACAACTCTGGATTCTGACTTTTCTATGGTTTGTTTGCTATTAGTAAGTTGCCTAAAGTTAACTGCAGTTATCTGTGTTACATATTGTGTAGCTGATACTGTCTCCATTTAGCTTTTTATTCTTTTTTCTTTTTTTACCCTGGCTAGCAAAGTTGTAGGCTGTCCCTTTCTCCTCAAACTGAGTTTGCTACTTTTAGCTGATAAATCCATAGGTTTGCCATTACCTCCCCTCATTCCCAAATCAAGCCCACCCTATCTGGCAGCAAAGGTGCTGGCTTTTGTAGCTAGTCTCAGGCTAGCAAAACTACCACTGTTGTCTACTGAGCAGAAAGAGGTACAGAAATACAAGTTGAGTATTTCTTTTAGGAAAATTCATAGTTAATTAAATAAATGTACTTAAAAAGTAATGGTTATTAGATTTATCTGTTAGGAAAATCTCTAGGAATAGTATAGGAGAGGGCCTGTCCCTATCAATACTTTTTTCCAGTGATCCTGAAGACAGCTGATAAAATAGACCATCATAACCAATCATGAAAACAATAAAACAAGAAAAATATTTGCAATGAACATAGCACATAAAGCTAGCTTTCCTAATATGTAAAGAATTTCTACAAAGTAGAAAGAAAAAGGCCCTGACTCAGCAGCTCGTGCCTATAGTCCCAGCTACCTGGGAGGCTGAGGCAGAAGGACTGCTTGAACCTAGTTTGAGGCTGAAGTGAGCTTACTACATTCCTTCCCTGCAACAGAGCAAGATCCTGTCTCTAGAAAATTAATAAAATAAAATTTAAAAATGAAAACAAAACAAAATCAAATAGAAGTAAAAAACA